AGAACAAATCTTAGCTGGGCATTTCTGTGTATGGGACCTAGATGGCCTAAGTTTCTTCATCTCCATGTTCCCTACTTCTTTAATTAGGACTTATCTGATATGCTATCAGCCCACTAGTTAAACAGATTTGCAAGCTGAAAGAAGGTAGCCTGCAAAGCATACACGTGCCATTAATTAGCTTTGGCAAACTGTGCAAAATGGAAGGGAGAAGGGGAAACTGAGCATTTTGTCTATAATTGGAAAAGACAGCTATAACAGGAAATGATTGGCAAGGAAAACAGCAAGTCAGATTAAATGTACAGAATAAGGAAGTTAGAACCTGTACCTTATATACATAATATATAACATCATATTTTATATATTTGTTTATTCAGTTGTTTTGGTTAGCTACCTAAAAATTCTCAGTATAATTTCACATTTACAGAAATGTGTATGAGTATATGTGTGCTTTAGAAATCTTAGCAGGTTGGATCAATGTTGTTCTCTCCTTGCTGAGCACATTAGTGCACATAAAGCACATATTTTCATAGAATCAGTGAAACACAGATTGCACACTAATCCTATGCAATAAGGATTTGAAGGGACTTTGGAAATAATCTAGTCCAGTCCTCTGCCCAGCATAGAAATCCATCACACAGCCTACCCAACAGATAGCTATCCAGCTTGATTTAAACACCTCCAGTAAAGGAGAGTCCACTACTTCCCATTAGCCTTCAATTGTTGGACAGTTTTTACCATCTGGACTTTTTTTCTGGTCTCCAACTAAATCTCCTTTCTTGGAATTTAGATTCACTGTTTCTTCTGGAACAACTCTGGACAATTCTGCCTGGTCTTCTGTATAAGTCTTTCAGATACTTTATAATTAATTGTTTTTATTTTTATTTTTCTTGTAAAATACCAAAAGCTCATGTATTGTCTTTCCATAATCTAGAGCAGAAGAGGGGAATCTGTGGTCTTCCAAGTATTGGATTTCAACTTCCATCAACCCTAGTCAATGTATAGCTTTTCACAAAAAAGAAAGCTTCAGGCTATAGCTCATTATACTTTTAATAGCAGTTGTTCTTATTTCAAAGCTCCTTAACAAAAAAAGAAAAAAGCTGGCTTCCTGATATTACAAAAACAATTTTTCTCAGCAAAACAAGATTACAAAAAACTGAACTCTCCTGGAAAGCCTTGAAAAAAATATTAAGATATGGTGTGTTGTATATCCCTTATTTCCAAAATGTCGGGTCATGGAATTTCTCCTGGATTCATCTTAAGGTTCCTATTAAAAAACAATAACAAGGGTTGCCCTGGCTCAATACCCCAATACATGACTGATGGCAATAACTATAGAAAACTGCACACCTGTTTCCTTCCTTGCAATGAACAAGGAATAGCTCAAGGATTCTCTTTCCTTTCTTCTTCAGGGGAAGACTAAAGATATAATCTTTCCAAATTCAGAACTGTGGAGGGGGAATCTGAATATGATAAGCTTACATTTTAAAGGACTCTCTGCTCAAGTTGGCATAGAATTTTTAGCCTGAGGACTAAATTACTTACACTTAACAATGATGATAGAAAATCCACTCCCATCAGATAAGAGAAGTAAATAAAGTTTCAGGCTGTCTTCTGGTTCCAATTTGCTACAAGAACAGTTAATTTGCATTAAATTATGTGGCATTCTATGCGCAATCGCTCTTAATTATCCCATGATTAAGAGAAAAGTATAACATCAACAATGAAAAATGTATTAAACTAGGCTCATAAGTAGCTACTTGCCTTGTCAACAGTGGTGAAAATAAATTGTTGTCATATTGCAATACAAGCTAAGTTGTGCCATGAGTCAATTGCAAGATGATACTTGTGACCTCAAGCAACTGTGGTTTTACATGAGAAAGCAAACTTTCTAAAGAAAAAAGGAAAGGGAGGGGCCTAAGGCAAAACTTCAAATGGACTGTGCAACTAAACTGGGCAGAACATGCTCAACACTAGAAGAGTTACATCTTTTTCCTCAGCTAGAGATGAGAAAAGAGATACTCCTGCATGTATCTGCAGAAGGAGAAGAGACACACATTGAGACAAATCTGTAAGTCCCCTAGATTGATACAGAAGAAAGGTAGAGTTCTGGACTCTTAAAGGTGTGAAGGCGATCTGAGGTACCCAACATGGAGTAGTGATAATAGCTGACTAATGGAGCATGAGACTATGCTCTCCCACATCTTCATCTAGAGGTCTGCAGGAAAACTAGATTTATTGGGAACACTGCAAGATACTAATCCAACTCTCCAACAGGAACTAAACCTAGATGAGTGTTGCTTCCTTACCATTCCCCATCTTGACTCAAATAATAGGCATGTCTTGCTTCAGCATACTTATCCAACATCCATAATTATCCAAAAACAGTATTGTCACTGCTATTCTATTAGTGGTGGTGATAGCTGCTCATAGAGAAAGCCAGCAATATTTCTATTAACATCTGTCATTTTATGATTTTCAGTGGGGTGTGCTTTTTTCTTCTCTCTCCATGTGAATATTTCATTAGTCTAATGGGAATGTATCTCTCCCTTCTTTCCTGAAGTACACACGAAGCATACAATTGTTCCCTTAGTTTATAATTTCTCATTGCGTAGCCTGAATATTTATCATTAGCTATCATATACAGAAATCCCCCCAAACAGAAATCTAATAGAATGCCTGTTTTTGAAAACTCCAACTATTCCAGTTTACTAGGAGAAGAGCTATATTTTGATATCAGTTCCTAGAAGAATACTGATTTTGTCATTTAGCCAGATATATTTTTAAGCTGTTTGCATGAGGAGATATTATTACTCTGGTTCAAACTCCAAATGAGGATCTTTAGAGATTAAATTTCTGACTAGGCAGCAGATGCACCTATCCTGACTTCAATACACAGATAAGTAAACCAAGGCCAAGAGTCAAAAGAATTGTTAAAAGAATTGTAGATGGATAGAGAAAGAACCATCCTCTGTGTATATATTTCCAAATTGTCCTAATTTTGTCTCTGGTCAGACATATTTTTGAAACATTACAAAAATCTGTTTACAAAAAGCAAACAGGGATAGATGTTCAGGCATTCAACTTTTTCTCTAAATTTTAATGCTATCAGATCTGGACTGTAAAAATCCAGATGACCATTAGACCACTTTCCATTTATTTCTCAGGGTTTGCAAGAAAGAAGAAATGGGGAACAAAGGGGGTGGTGGGGAAAGCAAAGCCCACTACATCCACAATTCTGCTGATCCCACTGTTCCAGGTATTTTGTAACTAATTTTTCTTTAGAGTTGTTAAAAAGGAGGACACTGTCAGTTAGCCAGCAATCACAAAGGGTTCTGGAATACTAGCCAAGATGGCTGCTGTCTTGTAATCTAAAGCAGTTTTTCTCAGCCTCAGCAACTTTAAGATGTGTGGACTTCAGCATACTGACTGGGAAATGCTGGGAATTGAGTTCTTGAGGTTCAGAGACACTGATCTGGAACATCCTGAAGTTGCAGTGTCACCTGACAGTGAAACACTGAGTAGTTGTTCATGCCAGGCTGGTCTCCACACATCATGCTAATATCTCTCAGTGCACTCTGCAACAGCGGTTGACAGTTGGGCTAGTCCTGAACCTGTGCCTTGTGTTATCCAAGAAGAATGGCAGACATGTGTCCAACCACTTCCCCCCGCACCGTCCAGTTGACAGTTTGGCAGTTTGGCATAGCCCCTGGAAGGCTATGTAACAAAGCAGGAAGACCACAGATGGAGCATCAACTGAGCTCCCTCCTGCTTCATCCTATACTCTTTTCAGACTGCTATGAAGATTGACCACAAGAGCAAGATCATTACAAAGTTAAGCAGCCTTTGCCACAAAGCTAGAGAGGGGAGTCAGCATCACAAGGACCTGTCCTGAAACAATGGTGAGCAAGACATCCTCAAACTGCTGTTAGGGGGATGTATGAATGAGCCCTTATATAGTACTTTCAACCTTTCCTAGGGTTACCAAATGTCATGCAAAAGGAGGACATGTCCTCTTATTTGTCCTGTCCTCTGTCCTTTAGGCAAAGCCTTAAAATGAAATATTATCTGGCTTTTTGGGTGTCTTTTTTTGGTGCGGGGGGGGGGGACTGTTTTCCAACAGTAGTCATTCAAACTTTCATGTACTGCAACCTTGTAAATTATCTGCTTCTTTCTTTCCCTCATCTGTTGACAGACTCAACAGCCTAGATGTATGTTATTTATTTCCTGATTCCAGCAATCAGCTTCAGTCCAACCACTTTAAATCCAAGATCATTGTAGCCTGTAGATCACAATTGGCCATACATTACTATGGTGAAACTTGGAAAGTGCATCGTTGATTCTGTATTATCACTAGTGCGTTCTTGAAAATACTGTAAAGTTTTGTTGGAAAAATATTACAATTGAAAAACCAATCTTTCTGATGCTGGAAAAAGTAATTTCACATACATGTAAGGACTAAGTACTTTTTTTTTTTCTTTTGCAGTTTTTGTGATGGATTCCAAGAAAGTCTGTCCTCCTTTGCCTGTCCAGGTATCTGGTAACCGTTGCTTTTCCTATCCCACAAAATTGTTACAGAACACAAAATCAGTAGCGTAAGAACTAAAATCGTTGACGCTTAACAAACAGCAGCATCTCAGTGCTTAACCTGGCACTCATATTTACAAAACAAATCCACGTGCAAAGCGAAAAACAGGCAATTCAGCCTCCCAATACTGGCAGCAAAGGAGACTTCAAGATAGCGGGTAACAGCCTGACTCTTTAACCCACGTCTTCGTGGCACATCGTTAGAGAGAATTTATTTCGTGGATGAGATCCTGCTTTGCAGTTTTTTTGGCTAGTGGGAAAGGCTAAGCTTCCAAAGGTACTTCGAAACCCCAGGGCTGGCTTCCCGTCGCTTCAGGCCGCGCCACCATCAATCCTTCCCCGCCCCAGGAGACTCCGGGGGCGGAGTCGGAGACCGTCCAGCCCCAGTCGCGGGACTCTGGAAGCGGAAGCGGAAGCGCCGTAAACTTCTAAGATGGCGGCTCCCTTGGGGCTGCTCTCTCGCTTTACGGTGCGTCTGCCTCGCTTCTTGGGGAGCGCCTGGACCCGGACTCCGTTTCGCGGACTCCGGCAGGGTGAGTGCCGATGTTTCCTTTCCGTGATGCTTCAGAAGGAACGGCCGGGGCCCAGGGAAGAAGCGCTGGCCAAGAAGAGAGTCGTTGAGCATCTTCCGCAAACAGCCCGAGCATCTGGGGCACCTTCCTCCAGGGCGATGTCTGGCGGCCGCTGAAGAGAAGCGCCGTTTCTGTGCAATTTTTACCGTTTTCCGCCCAGATCGGGATTTAGCGAGTCCGGGGGTGGGTGGGGGTCGGCTTACGAGCTCGTAATCCCTAGGATACACGGCGCAGTGCAAGGTAGAGAGGCGAGACCAGACCCCACATTATCAAGTACCTAAGTCTATAAAATCCGTTTTCTAAACGTGGATGGGTATGAGGTATCCTCCACCTCTTCCTTGTTTCTTTCTCCCCTCCTCCTCCAGGGTATGAATTTTCGGAGAGTTCATTCTGTTGTAGTAAATTCACTGAGATGTAGCCTGGAAGTATGGGGGGGGGGGGGGGGGGGGG